ATGGGAAGAGAAGAGGGAAGAGAGCCTGGAGTTTTGTAAGCCGCCTTCATTGTCAGAAAGAACGTAACCCTCCGTACTCTGTTAGTGAACACAAGCTCAAGAACATGCCATTAGATAATGATATAACTGATGTTGGCAATGTTGGGAGGAAAGGTATTTTTTTTCCCACGATTCTCATAAAAATGTCAGTTATATCTGGAAATTCGATAGTGTTCTTTCCCCATAGATAAGTTTGGTCTTAATGTAGTGCATGAGTGCTGCAACTATGAAGGGCGTTTCTCTGAGCTGTCCTATTCCTTCAGGGAAAAAAGGAAATAATTTCATTATTCGAAGGAGAGGCTTAGTTCTCTGCTCCAGACTTTCAGAGAAGGCAGTGGCTAATTTCCAGAGGCAGAGAATGGGAACTGTGACAAGAGGCCAATACTCAGATGTGTTTGTGCTTCGTTTTCAAATTGCTTTCATCTGTCCTTTTGACGGCTGTGTCAACTGGTGGTATAATTGTTTTGAAAACAGACATATACAGCAAATAGGAAGTTGCAGTTATGATGGATGGGTAAATGGAGTGGAAAAAAATGATATGCTGAAATGCAAGTGGGATTTAAAATTGTTCTAGCTCTACTTGAAAGATTAGTAGAGATTATACTTGAAAAAATTAGCCCAGAGGCAGTAAAAAGCAGGGGGGGAGAGAGAGAGAGAGAGAGAGAGAGACTGGCCAAGAAGACTGTGGCAGAAAGGAAGACTTTGTAAAAGTTGGGTTTGGCAAAATTTACAATGAGTTAACTAATGGTATGAAAACCCCCCAAAGTTAAAATATTCTTCAGCTATGTAAATAAAAGGGGAATCAAGCAAAAAAGTGAATGTGTCATGCAGCTGTGGTATAGACTAAGAATAGTTTAGGCATGGTCTCCAAACTAATTTAATAAGGAAAAAGCCATGGACCAGCAGGGTGAAAGCAAGATATGGACTGGGAACTAGAGCACAGAATTGGAAATTTGTACAAAACCTCAGAACTTCAATGCAGTCAAATTGTGTTTATCAGATAGTCTCTGGGTTGAGTTCAGACACAGTGGATTTGAAAAATCCCAAATTCTGAAGGCAGCTATTTTTAATAAAAATATGTTGAATTGAAGATAGTACCATTTGATCAGAGAGAAGCAAATTTAATGCCTATAACTAAGTCAGCAGAAGGAAACTGGTAATGACATCAGCAGGGCCTGACCCAGAAGTGATCTAGGATTCAGAAAAGTTTTTAAGGGGAAAAAGGCGAATAGAAAGCAAGATACAATGCAGAATAATTAGCAATCTTACTAAAAATAGGATGTGCCCAACTAATGTGATGCTTTAAGAAAATCTGGTTTTCCTTTGTTTTGATGACCTGGTGCTGATGGTAAAGTGCTCATAGGAAGTCTAGAGGAGATTGGCAGAGAAAGTATTAACTGAGTAAGATGAATAAGCAGAAACAATGCTTCTGTGTTTAATGAAGTTTGGGCTGAAGAGAGGTTAGTAGTGGAATTACTTTTTGCATTCCCTAAAATAAGAACAGTACTAAACAAGATGAGTTTTAAAATCAATCCCAGAGTGAGATGGATTGGTAAAATTTACTGATGAGGGAATGCTGAAGGAAGGAGAGGGAGGAGCATGATACATTACAGCAAGTGCTGAATGGCTGGGGTCTGGAGTGGTGGAGAGAAGAAAGAAATTCAGCAGTAGAATATGTGTTTAGAGACTGAAGCAAAGAGTAAGCTTGAAACTAATCAATGAAAATGGGGGGGAAAAAGATGTTTCCAGCTGAGTTACAAAGTGACTAAGACCAGTGAATGCCCTTCTAGTCACTGGAAAAGTGTGGATACAAACTGGAGCAAATTCCAGGGAAGGCTGTCGGTTAGGCAACTTCAGAACTGTCTTGTGAGAAGAAACTGAAAGTTTGGGGTTGTTTGTCTGGGGCTACAGAAGATAGGATTATTGATGGTAAACTCAAACACACATGCAGGGAAGCAGAGCTTTTAAGGGAAAGGTCTGTTCTGAAGCTGGAAGTTGGTAATCAGTGAACCTGGAAATTTGATGGCTCTTATTCATAGTAAGAGCAGTGGGATTCTGATAGAGCCATTCAGTTGGAATAGGGAGATGCTTTATTGCCTTTGGGCTGGAGCTTGTAAAGGGTGTATGGTGTGTCTTTGGTAACCCCAGAATAGTTGCAGGTTGATGACCCTGGAGGTAGCTTTAAGATTTATATTTGTATAATCAGGGATGTTTTGTGTCTGCAGAAGTTTAAGCATTGTACCAAAACAAAAAAATACCCATTTTTTTAAAAATATAAAATTCACATTCCCTTTAATGCTAGTGAGACCTTCTTTTTCATAGAAAATGTTTAATTTTGTTGATATGGTTATGAGAAATTGAATTCAAAATTATGCCAATAGTACACGATAAGAAAAGGCAAAAGAGAAATAGCAGCAGTGCAGGATCACAGAAGATGCTGTTAGAATTTGAGGGAAAGTGAACAAGAAGTCTCACTTCTGATGCAAATCTTGGGAACTAAGAGCTTGATGTGAGTATGGGCATAATAGTGTCATTCTAAATTCATGAAAATAGCTTTACAAATGGAGGAGAGGCAAAGTGGGGTCAGTGCAATTCAAACACACGATGACAATTTTAGCCTAAATAGAATGCTCTTTGTGACTAGATGAATTAATTACTGTAAGACAGTGTTCTTGGTTGTCATTCTGATTCTTTCTGCTTGTTAATCACTCCTAAATTGGAGCTATTGCACTAATATTAACATTTATTGCTTACAGAATTTTGGTAATCTGTTTTCTAGTTTAGTGTTCGTTCATATATTAATGTAAATGTTTTGAAGCATGTTTCTTATTTTACATTTCTACTTTGTCCTCTGTGGTACTTTTTTTCTGCCTACCAAGTATTATTGTTCCACTGAAACACTGTATGACTGTTTAAAATGTTTCGCTTTCCTAGGCAAGGTTAATTTACCTATTCAGCAAGTTTCATGACGTACTAAGTCTGAGCTGAGAAAGAGATTACTATACAAAAAATACGTTCCAGTAGGAGTGAGAAGGAACATCTGTAGAATGGCTTAGCTTAGTCTTTGTGCCTCATTGATCTTGTAGCAATTTCAATATTTCCCTTATTGCGCATGACGGTGCTAACGCACTTTAGGAAACTTCAGATCTACTGGAGGTACTAAGAGAACTCGGTTTGCTATGAATGGGGTGAAATCTCCCATGCTGTTAGTCTCACAGAAGACTTTAAACACGAAGACTGTGAAAAATCTTATCCAGTATGATGAGTTGCAGTAAAAATGAAACAGAGCAAATAATAATAGGGAAGTGTATGCGTATTTGTTTGCACAAGGAAAACACTTATTTTTTTAGTTGTACAAGTCACTGCGGTCTTAGTAAGTACATTTTTTTCCTCTTACTTTTTTTCAAAGAGCTGCTGATCTTTTGAAAAAAATAATTGAGGGAATTAATCTTCTATTTATCCAAACTATTCTGTGTTCTTTCTCTGTGCTTTTTTTTTGTTTGTTTGTTTAATTACAAGGAACATTTGCATTAAAATAGGATTTTAGGACTTGAACAGCTTCTGATGCTTTTTCCCAGATACATGGAGTAAACCGCATTTATTGTATTTGTAAACTAAAACAACTATTGTTTTGTAAAATTCCTTGCATGCTTTTTTATGCTGAATTATTAGTGAATATTTGAGAACACACTTTAGAAAGGTTCCCCCTGTCTACCCCTTGAAAATATATAGCACTAATGTATATAATTCTCCCCCCCTCTTCCTTTCCCACATCACGTCTCCTTCAAGACCTGCCAAGGAAGTCATGTTGGTAGTCACCTCATTTCTGTGGCCAATTAAACTAGATTGTAGTTCCTCCATTTCTCTAAAATAGGCAGTGTTTTGTGCTGCATCAAATCATCTTGATGTGATCTTTCAAATCAGACTAAATTTTGCAAAAGCTCTTTCAGATTTTTAGGAGTTTTTTCAATCTTTTCAGAGGATCTTTGTAAAGACTTTCAATGAAGAAAATCAAGTGGATTTATAGCAAAACATATCCACAATGAAGTGGAAATCCAGAAATACAAGCTTGATAGGGATGTGTGCTCTGGTAAAACTTAGTAACAATTATCAGATGATAGAGATGCTACTTCAGTTTGGGCGCAAACAGGTCACTCTTAGGACAAAAATAGAAAGGAGAGGGACAGCACCATGCTCTACAAGTTCTAATAACTGAACTTGAATATTTATGTCATCTCTCATCAGTAAAATGTTTAAAACTTTCCTATGTGGTCTTCTAAAATGAATTTATTTTCCAAAATGTACATTAGGTTCTGGATTGCCAGTTTAGATAATGTTTTGTGTTGTTATTATAATGTTTAATATTTTTAATATTTAATATTATAGTTATATTTAGTGTTTAAGTTTATGCTTTTTGGATAGAAGGCAAGTATTTTTACTAGTTTTCTCTGAGTTGTGCTTTCATACAACAGACCTTTTTTAGATTATTTTTATGTATTGACTGCTTGCAAAATGTGAAGATTATAATACAAAAGAGTAAATTTTATTATTCTATTTAATTACAGAATAAATAATTTTACAAATTAATGTTTGAAGTGTGGAATACTGAGCCTTAAACATAAAAGTAATCAGTTATCTGACTGAAGTTTATGATTTCTATTCTTTTAGATTTCTCATATTGGAAAGCTGAAAGATTTTCTTCTGCAACACAGAAAGGATTACATTAATGCTTACAGGTAAGTGTGCGTTGTGTTTAGATTTAGTTAGTTAGTTAGTTTTAGATTTGTAAAGTGAACTGCTTAAAAATCTGTAGGCAGAATGACTAAAACCAAAATGTAGATTGCTCATTGGCTTACTGTAAGCTACTTAAGATGAAGAATAGTGCTGTCACAAGAAGAAAACGGTCCTAAATAAAATGAGACTCAGAATTTGTAAATTTCCAGCTCTTAGGCAAACAACCTGGCAGACTGAGTCCAACACCTTTTAAGGACCTGCCTAGTAGGTTTCTGAAGTGGTTCCTGAGACAGCAGAGTACTAGATTCAATGATCCAGGTTTTCCCTTTCACTCTGTGACACTAAACCTGCCTGTAATCACTAAGTATACAGTCAGTAGCATCATTAGGTCCTGGAGGAGAATGATGCAAGCTCTTCAGACTCAGGAATGTGAATTCCAGGTGAAGGACACCACTGAGAACATGGTGTCAGGGGACAGCAGCACAGGACTTGCTTTTCTGTGACAAAAAGTGTAGACTCAGTTCTGGTAGTTATTGTTGTATGGAGAAAGTTTTTATTCTTTTCAGCCATTAGGAAACATTCAAAACTGCTGTATCTGCTTGCTTGCTGATAGCTTTAGTAGGAGGATTTTTGGAAGATTAAAACACAAGTTTGCAGGTTCGTATTAGTAAGAAAAAATAAAGAGTATCTTGTGATCTGCCCATTTAGCATTCACAATGAATTACTAAATCAAGTTATCCTAAAATCTAAATGTCACTGCAACTTCTATTTTGGCGAACTGAGTACAAGTAGTCATGCCATTTGAGAAATGGAAAATTTGCTTTTTTAATGAAACCGTTGTTATGTGCAAACTCAGTAGTCATATTATAGAGTGCATAATATTTAATTCCAGAAATAGACAATACTTCATAGGGATCTCCACTTAACTAACTTTTCTGTTGTGAATAGAAGTTCAAAAGTTCCAGCTGAACTAATCACTGGTTTATTTTGTTTCATATTGTAGAAGTGGGTTTGTGGCACACTTATGACTGCTATGAATATTTATTTGAAAAAAGTAGATATCCTCTGCATGTCTTCATAGTGCAGACACCACACATCTAACTAATCATTCCTTTCCTTCCATCTCACTCTATTGGTATGTCTAAGATAAAAAAATGGCAGCGTAACATAACTTAGAGTGAATGCTGTCTTTCAGGGAAATATGTTTGTGTGGGGAAAAATGCTCACCAAACTGCCTGGCCTTCAGCACAGTCATTTAAAGCAAGTCGATCTGCCACCCTGGTTATGCATAGGGCAAGAGGTGTTCTCCAGGGTTCTGGGACACCATTTTGTTTTGAGATTCATGGCTCAAAACCGAAACTTTTAAAATTCCAACCAGGTGTAAAATTGGAAGGGTGTACAGTGTGTGCAATACCGAATGCATCCCAACTGGGATTCGTTAAAGAACTGGGATGCACTCTTTATAAAGATGCCAATGAATTTCTACCAAGTGAAGTTTCCACTTTAAAGAGAATGTCAGCAAGTTGTTCTTGAGGTGACAACGGTGGATCATTGTGGCAATGCCCTTCTTGAGGAGGCAGTTATTTAAAACAACGGTGTCTTTTTTTTCCACAGTCATCTGAGAAGCAGGGGACCCACTTGGTTAGGGGTTGGGGGGGGTGGGGGGAGGTGTGTATATCCAACTGAAACAGTGTAGGTAAACTTTCCCTTTTAAAGGATCTTCTGAAACGTCACAATTTCCTGCGTTGTGTTTCTCCAGTCCCTGAGCGTAACTGCAGTATTGCATGGGGTGAGTCAGCCCTGGCTGCGTGCTGATTCTGCCACAACCCGGACCAAAGCCGAAGCCGCTGCTGCAATCCGTGTAGACTGCATTTTCTCTAAAATATCCTTGGGTTAAAGACTGTTCGTAGTCAGTGCTGGTGAAAATGAAGCTCGAGGGTGTGAGTGTCCGTTCTGTCTGCAAGGTGTATGAGGAACGGCTTCTCCAAGCAGCAAGCAGGAGGAGTGTACAGCTACGTGTTACGGCTAGCTCGGCTTTTCAGTTCCTCTTGGCATAGGTCATGAGCAACGCTAGGTGGAGCTACCAATTTAATACTGAAATAACTTCTTACTGCGTGAAAACTTCACGTGAATGCATAGGCTGAGAAACTGCAAATAATTGCAGTAAGAGCAGTCAGTAGCGGTTAAATTTTGGGTACTATTTGTGTTTTATTAACAGTAGTGTGCATAAAATCGAAGTGATAAGAGGAGTAAAAATTTGTCCAAGCTATTTTGGTTTCTAAAAGTTTTTAATGTTCTTTTTGTAAACTCTCTTTTAACCAGTTCTCATAGTAATTCTTGGTGATTTTCACCCACCACCACCACCTCAGGTGTTAACTAAGGAGAGGAAAAAAGAAGTGTGATTTCCTTTATTAAACCATAAATTAATCCTCCAAATCATATCTGTGCTTGCAGTTGATCCTGTCCTTAATGGTCAAACATAGAACAGACAGTACTGTCAAATTCCATACTAGATTGCTTATGCTGCTCTACTTTGTGGATGCAAAGAGGATCATAGCATCCATGCGTCAGTCTTACAGTCTTAGCAAATGCCTCACTCATTCAAGACAGCAGTTTTAATAACTTTTCAATACTTAAGCTATGGGGAAAATTTTTAAACAATTTAATACTAAGAGCCTGTGCTGGAATTGATGTAGGAGGTTTAATTTTGTTCATGGAATTCGACTACTCTGTATTTTGTCAGTCCTGATATTTGTTTTTCCAACTAAAGCACAATATGTTGGTGAAATTCGGTTTTTGAGTTACCAGGTTGAATTGTTGTTTGCCTTTTAAAACTTCTTCATAATCTGTTACATCGAGGTTCTTGACTGCTTCTTTGACCTTACTTTTGCAGACTATAAATACTTTAATAATAGGGGTTTTATTTTTGGCATACATAAAATATCCTGCTACAGAGGGGATGTTTAGAGGAAAATTTTTAGCAATGAGAAAGACAACTGGAAGAAGGGTTAATTGAAACTAAGGCCCTGACTCATTTTATCAAACTAAATGTTTAACTGACATACCTAAATTCAGTCCAAAAAACCTCAAGAATTAGTAGTTGCTTATTCACCTTCTTTCTTCTTGATTTGACTGTTAGCTGTAAAATACATGAATGGCAAAACACATGAAACTGATAATGCAGTGATCTAAGCTTGCTGACTTACAGGCCATTGTACCTTTGTCCTCTCCTGTTTATCAGGATTCATTTGCTTTCTCTTAGATGTTGGTTTGCAGCTGCCTGTCATAAGGAACTTCTCTGTTCTGTCGTCTTGCTTGTTTTATCCTGTCTACTCTGATTATCTCCTCTGGGTAGAACTTCTGAGAGCTTTAGCTGTACCAGACATGCCGTATCATCTCCCGCTGACAGCATGAGTTATGATGGACAGAAACCTGCAACAGGTCTGTTGGAAGACTCTGATTTACAGAGGGGCACATACAAAAGCTCCTCCTTCAAACTTCTCTCCAAATGTATGGTTATTTCTTGCCATATGGCTTAAAATTGGGTGCTGTATTGGCAATAGCAGTGAAAACTTGGACTTTCGCTTCAACACACGTTGTAAGGAAAAACAGTAAATAACGAAAACACTGAATGAATAGCAAAGACTGTGAGTGACTCATGTTATTGGTTACACCTACTAAGGGAAGGATTAATAACTTTGTATGTACCATTGCTTTTATTTAACATTAGAGCCTTGTCTTAAAGAAAAATAACTTAAATAATTTTAGTAAACACCGAACATCTATGTGTTAGGAAATTATCCCTGCTAAACTGTAATCTTTAAGGACTTTCCTAGCAATGTTGCATTTGGCTAATGCATGTCTTTAGTGAGTTAGTGATGAACAATACCTTAAAGAAACCTAAAAAGACCCTTCCCAACTCTGTAATAAAGTCTGACTATCACATTCTTCTCTTGTGATATGCTGATGAGACTTTATTGACTTTAGTGGAATAATTTCTCATTTATGTTGCTGTAACAGAAAACTGAATAGTACCTTTCCTTTTTTTAGTTCTGTAGAGAATTAGCTGTAAGGGTAGGTGACCATTTCTTTTGTCTCCCTTTGGTCATAAACTGTTTCCAGCAGAACAAATTGATCAGTCTTCATGGAAAAAAGGCAGGGACTCGTAGTTCCTGAAGATGTTAACAAGATGCGGATGCTTTTTTATATTTACTTATTAAGCAAACTGTAATCGTTCCTTTCAGCAGAGGATTGTTACTTACCTTCCCGTTTTTAGTGTATGACTGCTATGCATTCTATATACTCTTCCTCTTGATCCATTTGCTGTAAAGCATTCCTACATTGCTTTCTATGCTGTGCTCTGTGAGATCCTACCTTCAGTCTTTGATAAATTGTCTGATGCTTTGTCTGTGCCTTTGCTTTTCGTCATCAGCTCCTTCATGTTTTTGATCATTGAACCGCCAAGACAGTTTGTATATTTGTGTTAAATACAGTTTGAGAAACTAACTGTAGTGCCCTAACACTTGGGAATTTGAAATGGTTCTCTTGGGACTCCTCCACAGCCTCCAGTTTCTTTGAAGGACCTTTCACGGTTTAGTCAGTTTAAAGACCAGTAGTTTTTCCTACTGTTTTTTTCAGACACTGGAAAGGAATTGGGAGAATTCTAGAATATGACCACAGAAAACCTCATACTTAATAGGAAAATCTTTGAAAGAAGAGTTTTCCATCTGGGATTATTAGTCATCAAATTTATTGTCTTTTATAAGTGCAGAGATACTTATGTAGCCATCAGTGTACCGTAGATTGGTTCTGGGTAGAAATGATGTTTTTGCCACGGGAAAGGCTGGGTGGGTGGCTTCTGATGCATCTTCATTACGGGCTTCTGTGGTCCTTCTTTGCAGTTAAGGGTTTGAATGTTTCATATGTCATTTATTGCAAATAATATACTTTGAAAAAAATTCTTAACAAATTATCTTTCTGTCTTAACAGATAATGTTGATGC